GCTCAGCTCGGGCTGGACTCGAACCGCTGTTGCTCAGAGCTCAAACTCTTGAGCGAGCTCTTAACCAACTGAGCCACTCGGCCGGCCCTTCTTCAACACCTTTTTAATAAACTATCCTTCAGTCCCTTTTAAACAAGTCCTCCGGACGATTTCGATGCAAGGTAAAGGCAGAGAACCACTGTTCGAGAAGTTTTCTCCATCGTAGATTAGTGAAGGCGATTTGCAAACAACGGCATGATCCGCTGGAGGGCGAGGCGGGCTGTGGCGGCTCCTTATCCGGAACGCACTAGGACCGCGGCGGAGCGGGCCTCGGCGCTGCCGCCGTCCGCTGGGGGCGGGGCCCAGCTGTTCCGGGAGCCCGGGCCTGGCAGCTGGACCCGCCCCTGAAGGCGGACCGGAGTTGACTTAAACTCTGGGGCCCGGGAGGCAGGTCGGTGCTCCTCTTTTGCCCCGCCTGGGTTCCGCGCCAGTGGGTAAGTGCGGGATTGGTACCCGGCTGCCCCTCGCTCACCTCCTCGGGTCTCCGGCGGGGCGGTGGGTACTGGGAATCCAGGTGCCCGCGGGCAGGGGCAGGGCGCGCGCCCGCCGAGCGCTTTTGTTCTGAGGCGGGGACGGAGTCGCGCGGGCTGCGGACGTTGGGGCGGCTCCGGGCCTGGATCCCTGCGGGCTCGCCGTCCTGCAGGCCGCCACCCGGAGCTCGGCCGGCCTGTCCCGCTTGCTGCCCTGCTCGCGGTGCTGGGACCGGCTCTGGCCCATCGCGGGCGCCGAGCTGGAGCCGGAGGGCGCCGCCTCACCCGGTGTTTTCCTTGAATTGCCTTACCTTACTGTGGAGGTCGCGGGCGTCAGCGAGTACACATTTTTTTAAACTACAAGGCGGTTGGCTAGGCTGGTACGAGTAGCTTCTGTTTTTAATTATTTCCTGTCGCTGGCGTGAAAAAAAAAAGCCTTTGTTTTGCATTTAGTGTTTATCGAGCTTTCCCTTCCTCCCCACCCCCATTATGTTGTTCCTCCCGAAACAAATATTCCAAGTGGCCCGCGAACGCGACTGTCTGTACCAGAGATGTTTTCTGTTCCTCAGCAATAGTTCTTTCCCAGAGGCATTTTTAAATGCACAAATGCATACCAGTTTTAGGTGTTCTTGAGGGACGCGGATTCCCTAAGCACGTGTCCTTGGGGTCCTGAGTTCAGCAGCAAGCTTTTGGGGAATCGTTTCAGTGAAGACAATTTATTTGCAATATACCTTCAGTGCCTCTTCAAAATAAAGAGAACGGCAGGTGATGTTCCATGAGCTTGGAGTGCGTTTTAATAGGCGGGTCGCAGAGCTTGTTTGCAGATTTTCTGCTTAATGTGTTAGCTGTAAATCTTTAGTTTTATTCGTGTTAACTTACACGAGTGTTATTTTTTTTCCTGTACAGTTTTGGATTCTTTTACTAATCTAATAAAATTGCCAAGGTAAAGTATTTTTGTTTTGGGATGAAAGGGCAATGGTGGACCTGGAGGAGGTCACATAAATTGGAATTCTGACTTGAAAAGTGAACGGTATTTTAGGGCAAATCTAGTTTCTATTTTTGTTACTTTGCACACTTAAGAATTCACTAAACTTAGTATGCTTTTGGTGCAACCTTAAGTAACACCGTTTTGCACAGCAGTGTCATATCAAGTAAACAGATTAGCATGTAGTTTTATTATAAATTTAGTATAAATAAAAGTGACATAAACTTTATATTAAGTAATATATTAATTATGTAATGTTTCTTGCTGTCCCTAGTACCAAAGAAGTAAACATTGTGGAGGGACACGGATGTGTTCGGAGAGAAAGGGAACATACATAATAATGAAACAGTAACTTCTTATTTAAAGGTAAGTATGTTACCTCTAAGCAGCCGTCTGTAATTGATCTGTTACAGAACAAAATTAAGTGAATCAACATTGGTTTAAAATTAAACTATAGGATACAGTGAATTTGATGACAAAGCTTGAGGAGAAATAATGTGATTGGTTTAGCATGGAGTATTAAGTTCATCTTTGCAAGATAAGGAAGAGGTGTTGTGACTGTGGTCCAAGTTACTAAGGCAGAGGTCTACTTAAGATTATTCCCTGTGTGCTGTTTCTTATTGGATTGTTTTTATTATTTCTGGCACATGGTGTTGAGGGAAGGCATCATAGCACAACTCTGGGAGAACCATTTCATGTGATACCAACCTATAAAGCCAAAGGGATCATCTCTAGGGCTTCCATTTTATAAACACCAAGTGTTAGGAAAACTTGTGTAATGATTAAGACCATAGTCTGTGCAATCAGACTGCTGATCTTCAGATCTTGGCTCTATCATTTATTGTCTATACAAACTTGGGAAAATATTTAACCTCTCTGCCTTAGTTTTCTCATCTGTGAAAAGGGGATAACAGTAGTACCTACCTCATAGGATTGTTGTAATATAAAACATTCGGAACAGCTTCTAGCACATGATAAGTGCTCAATAAATTTTAACTGTTGTCATATTAAAGGAAATACATTTTTTAAAAAATTTATTTATTTATTGTTAGTTTCAGGTGTACAGAACAATGCAATAGTTACCCTTTTCACCCTCACAAAGTAACAACCCCCCACCCCCCATCCACTGCCCTCCCACCCCCATATCATGCTTATCTATTACAATTCCATTGAATCCGTTCCCGCACTCTACTCCGTGTCCCGANCCCCCCATCCACTGCCCTCCCACCCCCATATCATGCTTATCTATTACAATTCCATTGAATCCGTTCCCGCACTCTACTCCGTGTCCCGAGGTTATAAAAGGAAATACATTTTATGGCCTAAGACAACACTATGTCTTATACAAAATTCAGTTTGCTAATTTGAGTTCTAAATCAATTTTGTGTTGATTAAACTTTTTCCTGTAGATCTTGTTGTAGGTGGTACTAGACACAACTCTAGTTTTCACCTGCAGGCTTATTTGAAATCAAGAATGCCACGATTAAATTCTCTACCCAGGGCAAATTTGCCTCAAAGCTTTGCTTTTGCATATTCTGTGATGTGCTAGAAGCTCTCTTCCCCTTTAGATTATCAAGGTCTTAGACACAATTGGAGCATAAATGTCTAGGAAATTAACTTTTTGTTTAAAAAGGTATTTATAAAGGTGAATTTCAAGAAGTTTTCTTTTGTCTAGCCAATTTTTCTCTACCCATCTCCATTCCCCCACTGGAGGCATACTCTGCAAAATAGACACAGATAGCATGAGATAAAGAGGCAGCAATTTACCAACCATGTCTATAGAAATGCAAAGTTAAAATTTACTTTGTAATAACCTTTGTAAAGAAAAACATAATCTTGGTGGACCTTGAAGAATTCTAAATGCTTTGTTGGGAGACAGCTATGTAGCGTGTGTATTTTTTTTTTTTAAAGATTTTTCTTCTGAAATTTTTGAAAAGATTTTTATTGGGGAATTGGGGGAAGGGGAACAGACAAGTTGCTGTTGTTTTGTTCTTCAGTCTAATTGTGGAGGACGTTGCTTCACTGTCCCAAGTTGGCACCATCATTGTGTTCTTCCCGGGCGAGGCAGATCAGTCACCAGCTTCTGGACGGCCGCTCACTGCGGCTGCTGGCCGCACACGGCAGCCCAGCTCCAGGTTGAGCTGTTGTTCAGCATCTTAGCTGTAGAGGGCAGTGTCACTGACCCTCATATATGGGATCCAAACCGGGGCCCTTTGGCATCCCAAGCCAGTTCTTAACCATCGCGCCATTTGGCCGGCCCGTGTGTGTATTCTTAATACCATAAGTGTGCTTGTAAATTGAAGAACAATAATCTTGTGGACCTTGAAGAATTCCGAATGCTTTGTTGTAAGGCAGCTATGTAGCGTGTGTATTCTTAATACTCTAAATGTGTTTGTAAATTGAAGAGCAATGTTGGAGGCGGGCCTGTTAAAGGAAATGTCTCAAGTGAGACATTTGCTCATAGTTATGGTAATTGCAGAGATTTAATGACAATCACTAAGATTCTCTCAAGATGTATTAAATTACAAGACTTAATTTGTAAATAAACTTTAACTTGTGGTTAAAATTGCAAACTGTGTAATAAGAAATTATATTGTCCACTTAAGTTTTAAGAAATAGAAATCATAAGCAGATTACTGTTTTTTGAGACCCAAAAGAGAATTTATTTCCTCATCTAATTTAGAAGTTCATGTAGCTTGACTCGATCCAGCATCTGAAGGAAAGTCTGAAAGACTTGAGGCACTATCTTTTAGCTCTGCTGGCATCAGCATTGAGTTCATTCTCAGGCACACCTCCCTTTATTGGGTGGCCCTAGTTATCTGTAGGTATATATCAGTTGACATAAGAACACCAAAACCTATTAAAATTTTTATGAGTTTATTTGAGCCAAAGTAAGGACATGCTTAGAAGCAAGATCTCAGTGGACTTGAGAAAATGCTCTGGAGAATGGTAGTTTTGCAGTTCTTTTTATGCATTTGGAATAAAAAAGGGAAAGTAAGGAGGATTACATGAAATCCATTGGTGGTAGATTATGGAGGCTGGAGAAAGCATGGCAGAAAGAATCACTATGATTGGATAAAAAGTAAAATGGAGAGACATACTTCTTTTACATTGGTGGGTACAGGATAGTTAACATTTAACTAGGAATGGTACACAGGCAACAAGATCATGTGCTCCCTTGAGGGTGTTTACGCCTCCCAGGGGTCTGGAAAAGATTATTCTGGCACTTTAAAAAGATGTGTTAACCTAGATGCACAAGAACAATGGACAAAGCTTACTTAGGGCAAAGATAAACCTTTTACTAAGGAAGTCATAGGCCTTTTACTAAGGAAGTCATAGGCCTAGGGTGGTACTACCCACCTTGACCTGCTCAGTTAGGAATTTATGATCAGATCATCCTGTGAAGTTACCTTGGTCACTGAGCTTGTCAGATTTATTACATGGGCCTTGTTTTGTTCATTTATCTAATAAGGTTTAACTTAACACAGCATGCTTTTTGTCTGGTTGCTCTACCAAAAGTCTGTAATTAAATTTTATTGGCTCTCGGTGGGTCATGTGTCCATGATTGCTAATAGCAGGGAAATGCTGTTTGGTTGTTTTTGTTTGTTTTTTTTAATGAAATTTGCCCCAATTTTTTTTAAAAGATTTTTATTGGGGAATTGGGGGATGGGAGCAGCGTTGGGGAATCGGGGGAGGGGAACAGACAAGTTGCTGTCGTTTTGTTCTTCAGTCTAGTTGTGGAGAACATTGCTTCACTGGCCCAAGTTGGCACTATCATTGCGCTCTTCCGGAGCGAGGCAGATTAGTCGCCGGCTTCTGGACAGCTGCTCACTGTGGCTGCTGGCCGCTCACGCTGGCTGCTCACGCTGGCTGCTGGCTACACACGGTAGCCCAGGGCAACCCACTGCAGCAGGGGCTGCAGCCTACACAGTCGTCAGCGACTCAACTGGCGACTCACCGGCAGCCCAGCTCCAGGTTGAGCTGTTGTTCAGCATCTTAGCTGTAGAGGGCAGTGTCACTGGCCCTCATATGTGGGATCCAAACAAGGGCCCTCTGGCGTCCCACACCAGCTCTTAACTAACGCGTCACTCGGCTGGACCTGGCCCCAATTATTTTTTAAACTTTATTGGGGAACAGTGTGTTTTTTCCAGGACCCATCAGTTGCAAGACAAGGTGGTGTCTTCAGTCTAGTTGTGGAGAGCGTAGCTCACTGGCCCATGTGGGAATCAAACTGGCAACCTTGGTGTTAAAAGCCTGAGCTCTAACCACCTGAGCTACCTGGCCACCCTGCTGTTTGGTTTTTTTGATTTTGGTTTGCTGTTTTAAACCAGTTTAGAGATATAATTCATATATCATATTCATGTAATTCAATTCACCCATTTACAATGTACAATGGTTTTAAGTATATTTACATGTATATTTGTGCAACCATCACAATTTTAGAATATTTTCTTGGCCCGCAAAAGAATCTCTATACTCACATGCAGTCACTCCCCTTTATCCCCCAATCCCCATCCCCATCACCCCCCCCACCCCCACTCCTGGCAACTATTAATGTATTTGCTTTCTCTAGATTTGTGTATTTGGAATATTTCATATAGATGAAGTCATATGTATGGTCTTTTTTTTTTAAGTGGTGAAAAAGCAGTTTATTAGAAGAAAAAGTACATTTCAAAGAAGTAGAAGCGGGCCTGAGCAGTAGGGAGCGCCTCAAGGGCTATTATTATAACAGAAAGTACACTCCAAAGAGTTTGGAGCAGGCCAAGCAAAAGAAGCTCAAAAGACCATATGTATGGTCTTTTGTTACTCTTCTCTCACCTAGCACAATGTTTTCAAGGTTCATCATGTTGAAGCAAATATGTACATCTGTTTTTATTGCCAAGCAATATTGTGTAGATACATCACATTTTATTTTTATCTTTTCATAATCAGCACACATTTGTATTGTTTCTACTTTTTGGCTACTATGAGTAATGCTGCTGTGAGTATTCATGTACAGGTGTTTGTATGGACATACATTTTCAGTTCTCTTGTGTATATACCTAGGAATGGAATTGTTCTGTCATGTTAACTATATTTGACCTTTGAAGAAGTTATCAGACTGTTACTCAGAGTAGGTGAGCTACTTATGTTTTCAGCAGCAATGCACAAGAATTCTGTTTTGTCCACGTTCATATCAACACTTGTCTTTTTTATTATAGCCATCATCGTGAGCCTGAAGTGGTATCTCACTGTGGTTTTGATTGTATTCCCCTGGTAATTAATGATGTTGAGTATCTTCATGTGCATATTTGCTATTTGGATATCTGTTTTGGAAAATGTCTATTAAAAATAAAGTTTATTAGACTTTAAATTTGAGTTGTCTTTATTGTTGAGTTGTAAGAGTTTTTTATATTTTCTGGATTCTGATTCCTTACTAGTGACCATAAATGTGAGGGTTTAGGGGCAGCTGGTTAGCTCAGTTGGTTAGAGCGCAGTGCTCATAACACCAAGGTTGCTGGTTTGATCCCCACCCACATTGGCCACTGAGATGCGTCCTCCACAACTACATTGAAACAACTACTTGACTTGGAGTTGATGGGTCCTGGAAAAACACTGTTGCCCAATTAAAAGAAAAAAAATGAGGTTTTAATTTGGTTTCTATTCCATTGATTAATGTCTATCCTGTATCAGTATCACATGGTATTGTTTACTGTAGTTTTGTACTGTTAAAAATCAAAATTAAAGAGTAAATTTGAAGATCTAATTGGCTTTATTGAATGATTCATGAATCAGGTAGTATCCCGTTTAGTAAATAGAGAGGTGCTCCAAAAAGTTGTGCAAAATTAATATAATATTGTGTGTCAACTATAACTTTTATAGCAAATTTGGTGGGGCAAGAAAGTTATTAGAAAAGGAAGGATTGTTTCAGTCCAGGTCACCCGACTTGGGAAGGGTGGCAGTGGTCTTATCAGGCAGATTACCTCACTGATGTTGATCAGGAAATTCCAGTTTAAATTTTACTCCTGGGAGGGGCTGAAACTGCAATTAAGTCTTGGTTTGCTGTCCAGGGGGCAGGTGATCCCACCTTGGGCCTGTTTCTTCTTTAGCAGCACTAGTCAGTTTTGAAATGGGAAAGTATGAGTTCTCTAATTTTACTCTTTTCCAAAATGAATTTTCGGATTTGGTTCTCAGTTGACGCAAAGGAATCTGGGATTTTGGTGACAGTTGCACAAACTGTAGATCAATTTGGGAAGTAATTGCGACCTTAACAGGATTAAATTTTCCGATCCATGGGTGGGTTTTTCCCCCCCAAGTTTTTAGGTCTTCAGTTTCTTTCAGCAATATTTTATAGTATTCAAAGAAAAAATATTATACCTTTATAAATTTATTGTTTTTTATTTTGATGTTACTGTAAATGTAATTTTTTTCTAAATTAAATATTTTACAGAAATATATTTGGTTTTTGTATACCGAGCTTGTGTAAGGTAACTTAGCCAAACTAGTTTGTTAGTTCTATTAGTTTTTTAGTGGATTCCTTACAATTTTTCTATATACAAGATGATGTCATCTGCAAGTAGAGATAGTTTTAACCTTTTTCATTTCCAGTCTGGATGTCTTTTTTTTTTTTCTTTAATTTTATTTTGGGGCACTGTATTTTTCCAGGACCCATCAGCTCCAAGTCAAGTAGTTGTCTTCAATCTAGTTGTGGAGGGCGCACCTCCTTGGGCCCATGTGGGAATCAAACCAGCAGCCTTGGTGTTATGAGCCTGCACTCTAACCAGCTGAGCTAACCGGCTGCCCCAGGATATCTTTTATTTATTTTTTCTTTTCTTGTGTAATTGCTATGGCTAGAACCTCTAGTACAGTATAAATAGAAGTGGCAAGAGCAGATATCCTTGTGTTCCTAATCTTAGAGGGAAAGCATTCAGTCTTTAACCATTAAGTTTGATGTAAGCTGTGGGTGGTTTTTTTTTAATAGATGCCATTTTATCCAGTTGAGGAAGTTTCCTTCTTTTTCTAGTTTGTTTTTATCATGAAAGGGTGTTGGATTTTAAGAAATGTTTAATTTCAGTCACATTACATGTTGACTTCATCTGCTTAGATGATCATGTGATTTTTGTACTTTAGCCTATTGATATGTTCTAGAACGTCCATTTTATTTCTTTATTATTATTTTTATATGTTGAACCAATCTTACATTTCTGACATACATCCCACTTGGCCATGGCATATAATTATTTTTATATGCTGCTGTATTTGATTTGCTAGTATTTTGTTGAGGACTTTTAAATGCATCTCTATTCATAACAGATTGGGCTGTAGCTTTACTGGGATTTCTTTTCTTGTTTTGGCATTACAGTAATATTTGCCTCAGAATTGAGTTGGGAAGTAATTCCCTCTTTTTTGTTTTAGAAGTTTGTAGAATTGGTTCTAAATCTTTAAATTTTTGGTATGATGAAATGGGCCTAATAATTTCTTTTTGGGTAGTTTTTGTTACTAATGCGATCTTTTTATAGGTCTCTTTAGATTTCCTATATCTTCTTGAGTCAGTTTTGGTCACGATGTCTTTTGGGGTTCTGTACCCAACTGCAGTGTTTGTGTATGGAGGAAGCGGTTTACCACCACACCAATAACGAGCAATTATTTGGGGACAGATTGCACAGGTTGAGAGCTCAGTCCCACAAGACTGCACACCACACACACTTCAGATGCCTTTGTCAAGACCATGTTATATTACCTGTGCTTCTGACACACCAACTACAGTAGATTGGAGGTCCCACAGTCCCCTGCTTGGACTTCAGATGCTAGTCACAAGTACAGGTTATTACCTGTACTTCTGCCAACTGGCTATAGATGAGGGTTTCCAAGACCCTGTTTTTGGGTTCAATTAATTTGCTGCAGCTTCTCACAGAACTCAGAAACATTTTACTTAGTACATTACTGTTTTATTGCTAAGGATATGAATCAACAGCCCGATGGAAGAGATGCATAGGGTAAGGTATGTGGGACGAGGCTTTCGTGCCCTCTTCTAGCATGCCATTCTCTTCAGATCTCCACCTGTTCAACCCTGAAGCGCTGAACCCTGCCCTCTTGGGGTTTTCTGGAGGTTTTATTACTGAGTTGTTGGAAAAGTCATGACGCATTTTTGCAACGAAAACCAGAAAAATACGTCATGACTTTTCCGACAACCCAATATGTAGTCGTGATTGATTAAATGAAGGCACCTTTATTACTCTCATCACTTAGGAAAATCCAGGGGTTTTAGGAGGTTTGTGACAGAAACGAGGATGAAGACCAAATATGGTAAGTCCAAACTTAACATTAATAAGGGTTCTGCGATGTTTAAATGAAATGACTATAATGAAACCAATTTAATAGGTTAATTGGTATAAAAAAGTTAAGTTGCTGAGATACCTCATCAATGTTATAATGAAGCAATGTTATTTGAGGACCTGCTGTATATATTTCTTGTCAGTATTACAGGGGGTTTACCCTTTTTATCCAAATTATGGAATATATTGCCATACAATTGTTCGTAGTATTCTCTTTTCTTAAATGTAAGCTTGGTAATGTCCCTATTTCATCATAGATTTTAGTAATTTGAGTCTTTTCTTGATCAGTCTAGCTAAAGGTTTATCAATTTTGTTAATCTTTTCAAAGACCCAACCTGTGGTTTAATTCCTTTTCTCTATTTTGCACTCTCTTGGCTAAAATTGATGACAACAAAGGGTACAATATAAGACCAACAGAACAAAAATATGCATAGGCAAATTTGAGATCAGATACATGCTTCCAGGTTCTCCCTCCATGAGAATTGCATGGTCATGCTTTTTCTGCACCTGTAGACTGCAGAGATATATGGTCTCAAAACTTACGTGCATTAAAAATTTAAGGACCCCCAAGAACATTTGTTTATGTAGGTTACATCAGTATTTACTGCATTAGAAACTAAAACTGACAAAAATTTAAAAATTTATCTCATTTAAAAGTAAGTGGGCCGGCCGAGTGGCTCAGTTGGTTAAGAGCGCAAGCTCTGAGCAACAGGGTTTCCAGTTTGATTTCCACATGGGCCAGTGAGTTGTGCCTGAGCTGAGCTGCTACTGAGCTGCCAACAGGTGGCAAGATGGCTCAGCTGGTGAGAGCATGTGCTCCTAACAACAAGGTTGCCGGTTGGACTCAACGCATGGGATGGTGGGCTATGCCCACCTGCATCTAGGATTGAACACGGCACCTTGAGCTGAGTGGCCCTGAGCTGCCAATGGGTGGCCGGATGGCGACTGGACTTGGATCTGAGCTAGCTGCGCCCCCTCACAACTAAGATTGAAGGACAACAACTTGGCTGTTTCCCTTCTCTAATTCCTCAACACTGTTCCCCTTCTCCAATTCCCCAATAAAATCTTTTTAAAAAAATTTAAATAAAAGTAAGTGAATTTTTACATATTAATATAAATATTTTCTGAAAACAGAAAAGAGTGGCATTGTTTTATATTTTTGCAAATCTCTTTAATGTGTAACAAAGAAAATGGTTGGATTTTCCTCTCTTCTTCTGCATTCGTTTTTTTGCCATATGGCGTTTTAGTTGAAGTAGTTGAAAGGTGTTTATTGGGTGACAGAAATTCATCTCAGTTAGGTCACTGCTTCATTATGGCCCTAAAGAAGCACTACCACAATTTCTATCAGTTTTTACATTTTCTTTCTACATGACCATGTCATTTGACCAAGTATTATGACTAGGGTGGCTCAGAGCATGGGATCGGTCAGTTCAGCATTCATCCAGCAAAACTTGCATAGCTTCCCTATGAGTGTTGGGGAAGGAAGACAGTAGACCCAGGGGTGGGTCAAGTGGTGGGGTCAGAAACCATTAATCAAATTTACCTTAGGCTGTTGTCTTCATCCTCAGTATAACTGCAGTGGAAAGATCTTAATTTAAGGACACTTAGAAACTTTCAGCAGTTGCTGACTCAAGAGTATTATAGATATCCTTGGGAGTTGTGTCCTTGGGCGAGGGCCTAAATACCTCATCCTATTGGTCATGATTTCCCATGGTTTCCTGATTAAGGGAAAGCAGAACTCTCTTGTGTGCATTTTCTAGGCTCGGGGTCGGCACACCAGCTCATGAGCCACATGCAGCTCTTTGGGTATGTTCCATCTGAAAAGTTTGCTGACCCCTGGAAGAGCCAATCTTGTCCCTCACAACAATTTAATAATTTGAGAGCCATAAATATATTTTTACAAATAAGGAGAATTTAAGGTGATATTATAAATGAAACTATGATAGTTTTATTTTCATTTTCAATTTTACTTCAGAGCCACATGTACGGAACCAAAGAGCCGCATGTGGTTCGCGAGCCACAGTTTGCCGACCCGTGGCGGCTCTTCTGTCTCAAAAGTTCGTTGACCTCTATTCTAGGCTATAGGTAGGGCTCTGAATTTGATTGTAGGATCTGTCATCCCTTACCTGACCCTGCTGACAAGATGGTAAATTCTGCTCTATAGGTCCCTTCTGGTACTTGAGGTCCATGATTAATCTCAACTTTCAGTTTTACAAAGTCTGGATATTAAATCATTTCAACAGAGTGCCTCTGTTGAGGTTCTTGCAACCTCAGCAGAACCTCAGACAACCAGAGTAAACACTGGAATGTGCTCTGTAATAATGGGTAACTAATAGGGAATAATACTTTAAATCAGATTACAGAGGCATTTCAGCCTGTTTTATAGGTACTGATCAGTTTTAAGTTTTACTCAAGGAATTTCCACCTCTCAGAAAACAGAATTGGCTCACTCTTTTACCATGTTTCCCCAAAAATAAGACTGGGTCTTATATTAATTTTTGCCCCAACAATCTACATTTATTTATTCATGTACAAAAATCAACATTTATTCAAACAGTCATGTCTGGCTGATGATCTAAACTGAGGCTTATGTTTGGGGTAGGGCTTATATTACGAGCATCCTGAAAAATTGCTAGAGCTTATTTTCCAGTTAGGTCTTATTTTCAGGGAAACATGGTAGTAAGTGATACTTAAACTCCTAATATAGCTTGTACCCCAACAAAATACTGCATATAGCTTATACTTGCCTGGTAAACACTAATCATGTACTTGAGGCAGTTGTCAGAGATGTCTAGATATTTGAGACCACATTGAGGTGGGTACAAAGAGGGTTCTAAAATGAGTTGTTAGGCAAAACTCCAAGGAAGGATAACTGATTTCTTCATGTGTACTCTGATCTGTAATTCCCACTTTCTTAACACAGCTAGACAAGTGGTCTGAAGTTTGTCTTGACACATCTGGAAACACAAACCACAGTTGACCCTTGAACAACTTGAACTGTGAGGGTCTACTTATCCATGGTTTTTTTCTCAACAAATACATAGTACTGTAAATGTATTTTCTCTTGTTTATGATTTTCTTAACATTTATTTTCTCTAACATTGTAAGAATACAGCTATGTATACATATAAAATATGTGTTTATATTATTAGTAAGGCTTTCCATCAAGTATTGAGTTGTCGGAAAAGTCATGACACATTTTTGCAACGAAAAACAGAAAAAATACGTCATGATGTTTACGACAACCCAATAGATTATTGGTAGTTAAGTTTTCAGAGAGTCAAAAGTTACGCTCAGTTTTTGACTTGAGCGCGGGTGGGGGCGGGGAGGTCAGTGCCCCTAACCCCTGCCTTGATTTAAGGGTCACCTGTAGTGTAAACTCTCTAGCCAGAATGATGCATTGCTCTGAACTTCCTGCTGGCCAGTCATGATGGGATGCATGTGGTTATTAACATCCCATGCTGTACCTGGATTAATCAATCAGGAAAAATAGAGCAATTTACTCCCCACTCCCCTGTTCTTCATGGGGTTCGCACTGCTGAAACTTGATGCCATCTGGCACATACTTGGGCTTCATATGGAAAGCCCGATTGTCGCCTGAGCTCCAAAAGGCCTGATCTGATTGTCTTGCTGGGAGCCACAGTCTAGTCACTCTTACCAGTGTTGTCTAAGAGAAAGTACAGTTAATCTGATTGATTGGCCAGTGCTCCTGATGAGATTTTGTAGCTGGATACATGAAAAGCAGGAGAGTAGAGGCGTAGGTGATCAGCTTTACCATGGTTCCCCTTTCTTCTCATAGGCCACAGTCAATCTCAGTCTGACCCACACCTTGGCAGGATGCACTGCAAGTCCTCCTAGAACAAAGGTTGACAAGCAAACAGACTGGAGAAAGGGCCACAAGGTTGTTTTCTTGTCTCCTTTCCTGGTTTCAGTTGAGCACAGAACTTGACCACCTCCCTTCCCTTCGGGGTATAGCTGCAGGCTACACAGTGGCTACAGCTGGCCTCTTAGCAGCCAACTCCTCATCCGCCTCCTTACCACCTTCCGGTACTGGGGACACCCGTGTTGGTTTTGCTGTTTTAGTAATAATAAAGGATATGTGAATTCATTTGGTCTTGTCTCTTTTCTGTGTAAATGGCAGTGTGGAGAATCAACATAACAGCTGTGATTGTAGGACTTCCGGTCCTTCTAGCTGTGGTGCTACTGCTTAGGGACGACTGCTTGACTTCATGAATTTGTTGTGACAGTTAAATGTGATAATGTATTTAGAGCAGTCAGCACAGTTCTTGACATACAATAAATTCTCAAATGTTAGCTATCATTATTTATAGAGTTGTATTATAGATAATATACTAGAGTTGTATTATAAATAATGTAAAATTCAGAATCTATCCTTGAAAGCCTATTTCAAGGACTGTTAGCCTTATTTCTCCTATGACTAAGGGTACAAAAAGCCAGAGGTAGAAGAGGTTCAATAAATCATAATCCTTTCAGAATTACTGAAAAGTGGCTTTACACTGAAGGGTTGGTGTTTGTGGTTTTGTTGATTTTTATAGAAGTATCTATAGCTTTTTCCAATACAAATGAGTTTTTCTATGAAAAACGCTGGCATTCCTCAATTTAACCACATCGGTACGCACTTGATAAATAAACTTTGGCTTGTGGAACACATTATAGGTGAAACTTATAAACCTATAAGGGAAAGTTCCAATTAAAAATGCAAAAACAGGTTTTTTCATTTTTTTCAGGTATGAGAAGAGTATTATTCATATATATATGTGTATATGTATATACATATTTTTAAGAAGTCATTTTTGAGATACTCAAATGCTTATAGGTGAAATTATGTGATATCTATAGTTGGCATAGATGTGAAGAAGGATGAAGTGGGACTTTTTCCCATCTGTAAGTTTAAATAAGGATTTCTCTTTACTTTGGTGTTCAGCAGTTACAGATAATGTTTATTCAGCCAACAAACATTTATTGAAGCCTGCTAGGTACTATGTAGATACAGATCTTCAGATTGCCCCGAGACAGTCTTTTTTTTTTTTTTATGCTATTTGGCTGTTCATAGTACTGTCTTTCACTCTAATAATGTTCCAGTTTCTTTGATAAAATAAGTCACACCTGAATATAAAACAATTTTTGTTTTTTAACTTTATTGGGGAACAGTGTGTTTTTCCAGGACCCATCAGTTCCAAGTCAAGCAGTTGCTTCAATCTACTTGTGTAGGGCGCAACTCAGCGGCCCATGTAGGGATTGAACCAACAACCTTGGTGCTATGAGCACTGTGCTCTAACCAACTGAGCCAACCGGCCGCCCACAAGATTTTTTTTTTGAAGGGAACTTTTTTTTTTTAATTTTTATTGGAGAATTGGGGGAGGAGAACAGACAAGTTGCTGTCCTTTTTGTTCTTCAGTCTAGTTGTGGAGGACGTTGCCCCACGGGCTCATGTTGATATTATCATTGTGCTCTTCCCGGGTGAGGCAGTTGCTCGTTAGCCAAAGGACGGCCGCTCACGCCAGCTCACGCCAGCTGCCGGCCAGCCCCACTGCAGCCTACGCCGTCGCCAGTGACTCAGTGGCAGCCCAGCTCCAAATTGAGCTATTGTTCACCATCTTAGCTGTTGAAGGCACAGCGACACTGGCCCTCATGTGGGATCTGAACCAGGGCCCTGCTGCTCAGAGCTGGCGTCCCAAGCCAACTCCTAGCCAATGTGCCACTCGGCCAGCTCCACAAGATGTTTTTTTAAATTAAAAAATTTAAAATACTTTTTATGATGACACACAGGAAACCTCCATGGATTCTGTTTAGAACAGGAGTATGTGAATTATGTTTCTGAATTCCCCCATTTTGGGTCATAGCACTTTATCAGTGTCAACACACAAGGAGAGCTGCTTGCATCTTAGTGAGGACTACCACATCTTATCAGCATCCACATATTAGTATTGTCTCTTCTGTGAACTGCAAAACCTACAGCCAGACAGGTGATGTTAGTAGAGCCAAACTTTGTGTGAACTATATCTAGGATCACTATTTAGGGTTTGCTAATTTACCTATAGCCAGTTATAGCAAGGATATTCCTAGGAGAATTCCCCACAACAGAATATAAGACTCCAGTGGTTTGATGGTTTGATGATACCTGCTCCCATTACTGGGCTGCTTGCTGACCTTTTCACCACTTGAAAAAAGTACTTGGATTATTTGATCCTGCTCACAGTAACTGCCAGGGGGAGTAGAGCCTTAATCCTACAAGGCAACCAATGAACAATTACTCACTGACCTACACGTTAAGGTATTCCAGTTTCCTTTTTTTTTTTTTTTTTAAGAATTTATTGGGAAATGGAGGAAGGAGAACGGTGTGTTTTTCCAGGACCCATCAGCTCCAAGTCCATTTGCCATTTTCAGCCTAGTCACAGGGGGCGCAGGCCTCCATCCCATGCAGGAGTCAAACCAGCAACCTTGTTAAGAGCACGCGCTCTAACCAACTGAGCCATCCAGTTTGTTTTATTTAACCCCCACTGGAAATTAATGTGGGAGTGTATAATTTGTTCACAACTTCTATTTGTTGTTTTGTTTTTAAGATTTTATTGGGGAATTGGGCGAGGGGAAGATACAAGTTGCTGTCCTTTTGTTCTTCAGTCTAGTTGTGAAGGACGTCGCTTCACTGGCCCATGTTGGTATTATCATGGCGCTCTTCCCAGGTGAGGCAGATCGATCGCTGGCCATTGGACGGCCGCTCATGGCAGTTCTTGGTAGCTCACACTGGCTACCGGCTGCTCACGCTGGCTGCCAGCCACACGGTAGCTTATAGCAGCCCACTGCATCAAGGGCTGCAGCCTATACCGTCGCCTCACGGCAGCCCAGGTCCAGATCGAGCTGTTGTTCACCATCTTAGCTGTAGAGGGCGCAGCGTCACTGGCCCTAATGTGGGATCTGAACCCGGCCCTGCTGCTCAGAGCTGGCGTCCCAAGCCGGCTCTTAACCAATGCGCCACTCAGCCGGCCCTATGTGTTGATTTTTCTGTCAGTTCTATCCGTTAATGAAAGTGGGAATTGAAGTCTTGATGGATTACCTATTTCTCCTATATGTTTTTGTTTCTTGTATTTTAATGCTCTGTTAGGTGCATTTATGTTTATAATTGTTATATTTTCTTGGTAGATTGACCCTAGTTTGGTTATAAAATGTCCTTCGTTATCCTTAGTAACATTTTTTGTTCTTTCTGTTTTGTGAGATAATTAGTATAGTCACTCTACCTTTCTTGTGTTTTGCATATCTTTTTCTGCCTTTTTACTTTCAATCTATTTGTATCTTTGGAATTAGAATGTGTGTATTGGAGACAGCATATAATTAGCTTTTAAAAATCTATTCTGATGTTCACTGTCTTTTGGATTGTTTAATCCTTTTAGATTTAATGTTATTATTGACATAGTTGGATTTATATCTGCTATTTTTACATTTTGTTTTCTATGTCTCATGTGTATTTGTTCTTCCCTTACGCTTTTGCATTAAGTGAATATTTTCTAATGTAGCATTTTAATTTTTTTAATGATTTTTTTACTTATTTGATGGAAGCACAAATTACTTTAAAAATAATATTTATTTCTACCTTTAAAGGTGTAAAGCTTTTAAAATGTGATTTATTATACTTTTTGATTTTTAACCAAGTTAAAAGATCACTGTTGTGGGGTGGAGAGGTGAAGAATGCGGGGCCCAGTGAAGTTGTTTGGTGTGGGTTTTTTTTTTCCCCAATACCTGTAACCCTACAGGCTGTGTATGTGTGCACACGCATGTGTGTGAATGACCTAATTCAACAGAGATGTTACTAGGAATAAAGGGAAGGGAAATAGGATTTTTAAATTGAGAGATTTGATAGGAGGAAGGACAGCTCTGTTACTGTAAATGCAGATTACATTTACAAGGATACATGTTTCTCCTGAGGTCTCTCCCCGTGGCTTGCAGACAGCCACTTCCCCTATGTGACCTTACACCATCTTTGCTATGTGTGCATACATCTGGTGTTTCTTTTATAAGAACACCAGCCCTCTTGGGTTTGGGACCCACCCATGTGACCTCATGTAACCTTAATTACCACCCTAAAGGCCCTAACTCCAAATACAGTCACATTGGGGATCAGGGTTTAATTGTGGGGACAGCTACCCACAGTGAGACCGACAATGAAAAGAAGTACACAGAGACGTGTGGGTGGAGGGACCTTGCCCGATGCAAAGACCCTGAAGGTCGTCTGCATCTAACTTTTATTGAGGGAGACAGACAGAGCTCTATATAGAATGTGCGTAGCAAGCGGATGTGGGGGGTAAGCAATCAGTACATGGGGAGCTCCCTTGTTCCGTCCTGACTCGCGCTACGTCTCTACTGTCTATCCTCGGCCTGCACATGTACTGTTCCTTTCCTATCTAGTCCTTGAGCTGTTGCCTGCTGCCTTCAGCTGACCTGTACCCAAGTTGCGTCCTGCTCTGACCTGCAGAGCAGGCGTCCTACAATTCATTCCTTGGGCCATTGCCAACCGCCTTCGGCTGACACGTACCCAAGTTGCTATCCTGCTCTGACCTTTCAGAGCAGGCACCCTGCAATATTGCAATCCAGTACTGTGTCCCTACATTTAATCATAAAAATTTTGGGCAGAAACAATTCAGACCATAACAGCCTCCCACCCACAAATTCACGTAAAGGGGTATTTATTAGGTATCATCAACTCTTTAGAAGTGCTGCTTTTTTACTTTGTATTATACTTCTACCCCATCAATCAGTTATCTTTTAAGGAGCTTTCCTGGGAGACGGCCTGTGAGGAATAGATAGATCTTTCTCCCTGGGACTTGTTTTTAATTTTAAAAAATGCATGACTTCAATCTTGGTTTTCTTGTGTTAATGAATACACTACAACTCATGCTGCCATTTAACCTGTCCCAGTTCACAAGTTTATACATAAAAAAGTTTTTGTCTTATTCTTTCCTATTTTGCATTTCTGTGTAAATTAAGTATTTGTTGTATGATCTTGAAAATAATAAGGTATTTTTTCCTAATTACTGGTGTTTTCTTGTATATTGACCTTGTTTTCAGGGATTTTAATAAATAACTTCATAAGCTAAAAAATCTATAGATTGTTTTGCATTTTCTACTTAAATAACCTCTCTGAGTAGTCAGTTTTATGTTTTCCTTTCCAGTTATTACTTCCTAGGCTCTCTGATACAATGATGGGTGGCATTTTAATCTTATTGTCAGTCTAAGTTTTTGAAATTGCCATTTATCAAAATTAAGAACATTTGTAGGTTTGATACAGTTCTTTTTTTTTTTTAGTGATAGTACTGATTTTATTACTTTTACTAAGCCATTTCATCTTCCTCTCACTCAATGCAAGAAATAATGTGGAAAAAAAAATATCCTCATTATTATTCACAACAAAAAGGGTCAGGTCTACCCTGCAGGCCCGGGCATATGGTACAATAGGGACGCATCATGGCTCAAGTGGATCAAAGTACCATTTTGATTCTGACCCACCGAACAGAATCTCATGCAGATCTTATGACTGGACTAACACTATGGGAGCTGTGATAGACAGAACCATTTCTGTGGTATCCCAGATCTCAATAAATAAGAGCCTGTACAAGATAAGATAACTAACTCATCAACCTACCCATAAATTCTATCTATGGGCTCTTTCTTTAGTGTAAGGTGGAAGATGGAGCCCTTTCTTGAGTACATGAATACAAGTATTGTGGTCTAAAGATTTCTGGATTGATATTGTGTCTGTTATAATAAAGATAAGGTAGACATCAAAACCATGTCAGATTAAGAAACTTCCACAGCTTGTCTCAATTCTTCAAATAATGGAGCAAGTTCTTTTCCTTTTCTAGGCTGACAATTTTGTCCTGTATTGGTATTGCTGCTGGCTATGAGACTCACCACCAAAGATAAACGATAGAACTGAACCACCTGGTAGGTATTATAGTAACATGATACTTTTATTTTTTGAAAGTCTAAGTTTGCTCCCTTGGTCTGTTGCAAGGGCAAAAGTAGATATGAAACCAGGTGTTAAAGCATGCTCTGGGACATTGTCATTGGCCACTTTAATAACAGGCACTCCATCTGTATCTGACATAACAATAGCATGGAGCCCTTTAACACTTGGTAATTTTTTTAAAAAATGATTTTATTGGGGAATTGGGGGAGGGGAACAGTTTAATGACTTATTCTTTTTAAAGAGCCAACTTGTGGCCTGTGGAATCCCTGTTTATTTTGTTTATTTCACTGTCTTTATTTCTTTCATTTCTGTGGTTTAACTTTTTCTCACTTGTGATAAATGTGAAGATTGTTTCCCAGTGTTCTTTTTTAAATAAGTCTATTTAAAGCCATAAGTTATCTTCAAGTCATGTGAACACAGGGATGGGAGCCTGGACTGGATTATGTGACCACCACCACCCCACGCCCCCAGTTATATGTTGAAGCCTTAACCAACAATGTGACTGTATTTGGAGATGGGACCTTTAGAGAAGTAATTAATGTTAAATGAGGTCATAAGGGTACATCCCTAATCCAATAGGACTGGTGTCATAAGTAGAGAAGAGACACCAGATAAGATATCTTTTTCTTTCTCTCTTTCTCTCTCTCTCCTTAAGTATAAAGTGCATTCCTTATTTCTCAATTATTTTACAATTTACAATTATACAATTTACAATTTCCCCTGTAATTTCTAGATTAATTCCACTGTGAATTAATCTGAATTATTTTAATCCTTTGAAATTTGAGATTTCTTTATGGCCCAGCCATATGGTCAACATTGGTAAAAATCCATGTGCACTTGGAAAGAATGTATATTCTGAAGTTGTTGGGTGTACTGTTAATATGTTTAAGTCACATTTGTTTATTTTAATTTGTCTTTCCTTTGTCATTTACTGTGGTTATGGATTTGTCCATTGTTAGATTTGTCAATATACTGTTGGTGAGTGTAACTTATTTCATCCTTTTTGGAAGTCAGTTTTTCACTGATTATGAAAATAACTCTAATGTCTTTTAACACATTGATTTCACTTCTAGGAATTTCCAGAACATTTAGCAGAAATATAAAAGCACAAATATAAAAGCACAAATACACGAATGTTTAGTTTAGTTTATAGTGCAGAAAACTTAAGAATACCAAATATAGGCATACCTCTGAGATATTGTGTTCAGTTCCAGACCATCTCAATAAAGCAATAAAGTATCAAAATAAAATGAGTTGTAATATTTTTACCCATGGAGCTTCTTGCCTTCAATTTGTAAAAAGTGCAACATCTGTGAGCTTAATAAAGCAAAACACAATAAATTTACAAGGTAGTCTCGTATCCAGGTAATAGAGGGCTGGTTAAATGGTGATACTTCTAGAAAGTGGAATGCTATGTAGACATTGAGGTAGATACATGTGTAGTGAAATGCTAAGACATCCTAGGTATAGTAATGAAAACCAGGTAAACTGTAGACAGTATGTTTTGTAGGGTCCCATTTGTTTAAAAGATGGGGTTTTAGGGACAGCCAGGTGGCTCAGTTGGTTAAGAGCTTGTTCTAGAGTGCAAACTCTGAGCAACAGCGGTTCAATTCCTGGCCCAAGCTGAGCTGCCAAGAGGTGGCAGGATGGCTCAGTTTAAAAAAAAAAAAAAAAGGTTTTATTTATATATTCGTGTTTTATATGTGTAGAAATTTTCTGAAAGAGAAGGTAATGATAGATAGCCTTAGGGAGTATATAGATACTGGGAATGGACAGTAATATGTTTGAACATTTTTTTTTATAGTGAGCATGGGTTACTTTTAAAGAGTTAATTACAATAATAAAAATAGAAAGTAATCACCACTTAAACGTAACAGAATGCTAACTGTATTGTATAGAATGAATTCCTGTTAAACACCCTAGAAATTTTATTGATATTTGCCATGTTTATTTTTGCATCCTCCTTTGTTATTCTTTCCCAAATCAAAGATGAGGTTTGTCTAGTGTGAGGTTTTAGGAATTATGATAGACGTAGTCAGCACTGGTGTTAAGGGAAATTAATTTTCTTTGAAGTTTCTATCTGGGCAAAACAACTTTGTAATAAAAGATACTTGTTTCCTACAGATTCTTGACATTCAAAAGAACTGACTTTTAATACACTGCTACTACATCAAATCAACAATGGATTGGACTGCAAAACCAGAGAGTGTCACCTTACCCCCAATGTATCCTAAAAACCAATCATCTTTTTTGGATCCGACTTTAATAAACACACCATCTCAAAGTTCTTTAAACTATCCTGGAAGTAACCAAGAAACTTGCATGTTTCTTAGTAACTCAGATCCAGTCTCACAGCCACTGCTCAACTTCAGAAATTATAAAACTCCTCAACAAATCTCTGTATCTGATATGCATAGTGGGTCATTAATGGCCTCACAAACTTCAGTAGAAAGAATAGCATATGCAAATGTTAAAGGACCCAAACAAGTAAATCACAATTTGCAAATGTCTTCAGGAGTTACACAAAATGTGTGGTCGAACTCACCAGTGAGGAATTCTATGTTTTCTCATACAGGGGCAGCTGCATCTCAACAAACTGGTTTTGGAACTAATACATCCAAGGTACATGCACCACAGAATCAATTTGTAACACCAGATGTCTATTCTGTGCAAGTACAAATGATCCCTTCTAAATCTGTAAGAGTTCCTGTAACTTATCTAGGAAACCGGGGACTTAACTCATCTTTATCAGAGCGACAGGGTGATTGGGCACAACAGTATACATCCAATGGACTGACTCATCAAGATTACAGACTACCAAAGCAATATATTTATTCATCACAAAACCCCTTGCAAGATCCTACTCTTCAGAAACAAAATCCTATGCCACCTATATCATTACAAGTTAAAAATAATCATCCTCCAAATTCTGCACTAACTTTACAGTCACAGCCGACTGCAACTGTGCAATCCTTTCAATATGCAGTTACTCAAACTGACAGAAGACCACCTCCACCATACAACTGTAGATATGCAAGCCAGCCTTTGCAAAGTACTCAGCATGTTATTAAACACTGTCCTATGGAAGTTCCTCAGAGTCAAAAAACACACTTACCTGAAATGAGGAAAGACTTTTGCAGAGGCTTTCAACAGCAGTGGCAAAACCTTAATGAAAATGTCAGCACAGTTGGAAATTTCTGTAACTTGAAAGTAAATACTAATGTCAGTCCGCCTTTTAATGAACCTATTAGGTCTTCTGTGGATGGTGTTCAGATTCTTGCTCAAAATAATCAAGAGGTAAGAGTGGATTCTTGCAATCTAGCTTCAAATCAAGCACTGGACACAAGTGCCACAAAAGAAAAGTTAGTGAGGGATATTAAAACATTAGTAGAAATGAAAAGGAAATTTTCTGAACTGGCAAGAAAAGTTAAAATTAATAAAGATCTTTTGACAGCAGCAGGTTGTATTAAAACAACTAAAGCCTCTTATAGTAAATCAGCTCAAAATTCTGAACTGTCTATGAAACAAACTGCCAAAATCCAGTCTGGACCACAAGTAACCCCGGTTACTTCAGAGACTGCAAAGGATAAACTGCCAACAGTAATGGAAACTGCAGAAGAAAGAAACAGAACACACAGTACATTGAATTCCAACATGCAGGATACCAATTGCAAAAATTTAAACCAGGTTAATTCCATTTTACTAAATCCTGTGTGTGCAGAAAAGTTGCCAATGCCAGACAAGTTACATGATTTGGAAGTTACAACTTCTTTGCAGACACCAACTGATGGGAGAACCCATGCAATATCAAATAACACCCAGTTTTCATCAGGAAATTTTGTCAACATTCAAGAACATGTGCCAACAAAGTCTGAAACAACTTTAGTTCCTCAGCCTATGGCCTTTGAGGAATATGCTTCAAAATATGTAAATAAAAACAGGCTACTTCTTAGCCTCCTTGCACATGGAGATAAAGTTGAGGAAAAATTATTCAGAGGTGCTCATGAAACTATTCAGGATTCTAAACCACATTGTTTTGAAATGAATCCCAATACCCAAATCACTGGTAACCAACTGAACTTGAAAACCTTGGAAACTCCAAGTACTTGTAATACAGATGCCAAGATTTCAGACAGTTCTTTTTGTCTTGAACGTAAATCCTCAACACATGGAATATCTTCAAAAAGTGGCAGTCACTGTTCCATGGAATTGCTAACAACATGTCTTTCTCTGTGGAAAAAGCAACCTTTAGAATCTACAGAAAAAAAACAGTGTGATGAGTCAAGAACAAACAGTACAGCAGTTGGTATTTCAAAGCCTGTGGATATCTGTGATGAGAGTCCATCACTTGTGGGAAATTCTCAGAATATGATAGTAAACAGCTCACAGCCAACTTCGTCAATGGTAGTGCAGAATTATGAGTCACCAGCTGCCACTGTTACAAAGGGAACAGAGCTTCAGGTTGCTGTAGTGTCACCCTTAATTCTTTCAGATGTCAAAACATTGCCTTTCAAAAGAATAACATCTGAAGATTTATCTGCGACAATGTATCCAGTTATTAAAGAAGACAGTGTTTGTAGCTTACAGAATCAATTGGAAGAAAATTCAAGAGTTACTACTGCTTTGAAAGTTAATGAAACAGTAGCAGGTACGACAAGCATCAAGATTTTTCCACTTACTCAGAAGGACAGGCAAAATGAGTCAACTAAGAGGAATTCAGAAAGCACACCTAATACCAATCAAGGAAAGCACATCAGATCAGAACCAGATAGTCACTATCCTGTGAGTGATCAGCAAGCCTGTTACAAATCAAGGGACAGTGATATTGTGAGTAGTGATATGTTACAGATTGACAATATTTGTTCTCTTGTGGAAGGCGACCTATCTTATAATTCCAAAATAGCAAAGATATTCAACTCACTTCCTGTGAAAAAGGTTGAGCCACAGAAATCTCTACCCAATCATCAAGTGATGAGTAGTAAACAAAAAGAACAATTAGACAGTATCACTGCAAAGAAAGACTTTGGTTTTCAAAAAGATAATTGTGTTCAGTGCACAGATGTTTCACATGAAACACCTGATCAGTCAAAATCACTGCAACCTCCAGAATCAAATAGTGAAATTCTAGAGGAAAGAGATTTGGAGCATATCACTAAGATAGAAAGCACAGCTGAAGATATGTGTTCATCAGCTGCTATTCAGCAAGATAGTAACGCTCAGGAAATGGATGTGTCCTGCAGTTACACTGCCCAGGATCCTGCAAGAAATGAGATTCTCAATAAGACCCCCATGTTATACCTACATGATCAGTTGTCAGAACTTTTAAAAGAGTTTCCCTATGGTATTGAACCTGTGAACGCACATGAAGTTTCTGTAGCACAACAAATAACAGGTCAAGACTCAAAAGATCAGACTTGTGATAAAACCAGCCATGACTCTGAAGATTCACCAGACCAAATACAAATTACAATATTAAACTCGGAGCAAATGAAAGAATTATTTCCTGAACAGGATGACCAGCCCAGTGAGGTAGACAAATTGACAGAACCTCAGAAAGCAAAGCCTATCACAAATGAAGGAAGCCAGTGTGACCTACAAGTGCACACAGATGGGGAAGATCATGATTCTTTAGTGGATTCAGAGAAAGATGATGTCCGCTGCTGTGCGTTGGGGTGGCTTTCTGTGGTTTATGAAGGAGTACCCCAATGCCAGTGTAATTCCATCATGAACTCAACTTCAAAGGAAGAAAAGGAGAAAGATCAGTGTTCTCCTTTGGAGACCAACAGTTGTAAGCAAGGAGAGAGTACCTCTGATAGAGATGTTCCTACTGGATTTAGTAGTCCTCCAAATAACAACCCAAGGATTGCTCTGACTTTTCTGGTTGGGAACAACGATTTTCCTGAAATAGAACAAAACAAGCCTATAAAAGATACATCCCAAACAAAACATAACAACCCACTAAGGACAAAGCAAGAATTATCTGGTCAACCTTTATCTAAAGGTGACAAAAGCCTAAATTCCTTGCAAAGTCACAAAAGAAAAAGAGGACTGAAATTTCATGAGGTAACTTTTCACTCTAGTAATAAAAGAAAATTTTCTCAAGAGAGCATGCAGAGGAAGCCCATAGCACAAAACTCACATCCACTGAAAGCAAAGACCGGTTTTTTGACAAACAAAAGTAAAGATCTGCATATGAAGAATGGTTCCTTGGTACAATCGATATTGCCAGAAAAGAGGAAATTGAAAGCAGGTGATGCTGAACAAAAAGTTGCAGAAAAAAGGAAGTCAGACAGAGGGAGCATACTTGATTCAGAGATAAAGAGGATGAAATATGATAAACAAGAGCAGAAAAAAAGAGGCGGTACATTTAAAATATCTAATTTTTTGTCTACACCAAGTGAAAGAGCCAGGGTGTCCAATATTACGTTCTCAGGCTCTAAGCATAGTTCATGTAAAATTAATAGAGTTCTATCACAGAAGGAATATTTACAAAGGCAGAAGCTTAAAGAAGCAATGAGTAGCAAAGCATCAAAGAAAAACACGCCATGTGATTCTCAATACATGAAGTCCAGTAAACTTTCTCCCCAAGCAGGGAGTTGTGGGAAATCAAACAAGAGACCCAGTAGCAGTGTACAGACTTCTAAAGAATCAAATATTTGTACAAGCCATGGTAAAAACCTTAAAATCCACCATTTCAAGGAGTCTAAAAGCCACATTTCGAGGAATGTTAAAGGAACAGTTGGTGGAAAGCAACCTGATAAAATGTGGGTGGAAAAAACCAATTTAGAGAAAAATGTAAACAATGTAAATAATGAACTTGATTTCACTGAGATGTCTTCCCAAGCAAAGGAGCCAACAAAACAATATCTGAACAGAGTTGCATTTAAATGCACTGAGCAGGAGAGCATTTGTATCACAGAGTTTGGGAACTTACCCAGGAAGGTTAATAAAGAGAAGAGACGGGAAAGTAAAATTAAGAACGTTTTACCTAAGAAGGATGCCACAGAAAAACAAAGCATGCTTCAGTTTAAATTATGTCCAGATGGACTGATCAATAAGAGTACAAATTCTACTCAAGACCAGAAGGATCTGAAGCCTTGTCCCCGAAAAGAGCAAGCCCCGGTGCAAGGTCCAGTATGGGTTTGTTTGTTTTTTATGTTGTCTACAACATTGTAAAGCATTGTAGGTCAAGTGGGTTAGCACCTCTCATGCCATATGGGTAGCTAGGAAAGACTTGAATGCATTTTGCCATTACTTCTTTTTCTCAGGAAATCAATGGTTCATTGGGCAGTATTTAAGTTTATGCTCCTTATTGTAAATTGTAATAAATAGTAGTCCTGATGAGGCATATAAAATTGTAAGGTCTGCCACACACACAGATTCCCTTCATGAACCAAGAAACCTATATTGTGAAAGACATTTATTGTGTTAAATTAGGAAAGTGTCATGTATACATTATTTCAAGACTTTTGTTGATCAACTTTTGTTGATTCCCCTTGGACTTGGCAATTTCAAAGCCCTGTGAATTTGAAATTTTGGTCTAAATATTAGATATTTAATGATTATTAATCATATCTTTTTATACTGTGTTAAATGTTCAACTTCTTAACCATCTTTGAAGCAGTTGGTGACTGTTACCACTAAAGTGGCAACGTCCAGTGTACTCATGAAAGGGAGGACCTTGGAAGCAGTATTGTCCAGTGTTAAGTCAACCCAGAATGGCAAGCATGACAATTGGTTAGAGTTTTCAATGTAGTATAGGAGGGAAGGACAAAATAGATGACTATTTGTGGTAGTAAGGAAACACTTAGGGGTTGTGGATGTTACATATAAAATATTGTGCTGAGAAACCCAGATTGGAAAACTAAAGGATTTGAATGGAAATTTTAAGTTTCTGAGTCTCTCTTTGGGTGCATAAAGTTACAGCATAAATATGGTACGTTTTTTGGGAAGGTGATAGGGACCTATGATTAAGTAGAGTATAAAATTCATTTTGTAAACTATTGGTGATTTCACTTGGTGCTGATAACTGGATGCTTGGAATTTGAGGATGTAGTGGGAGAACTGAAAGTGGGTAGGGGCAATGTGAAGGATGTTTTCTACCACGTGCCCTTAAGTACCTTGAGATGTGTTGGTGTTCACCCCAAGTGGGAGAGATATAATTACATAGTGAAGCTGAACTTTTAAAGCAACTCATTTTTCTAATGTGAGATATTTAGGCACCTCAAATGGGAGAAGGCGTTTTTCCAGACCCTTTTTAGAAATATGTTATGTGAATGTATTTAATACCTTCTAAAGTTTATTTTAGGCTTACCTGATTTTCCTTCATTATAGTAGTACTAAAACTGAATAGCAATATCTGTTCTCAAAATGAATATTTAAATGGTTTCAGGAATAAAAAGTACAAAAGAAGACTGGTTAAAAGGTACACTTGAGGAAAAAAGGATTCCAGAAGCAAACCAAGAAATAGGTAAAATCATCATCTAATTTAATTTTTAATTTTACTTCTCTGTTACTCTGTCGTATATAAACTGGACTATACTTAGAAACTAATGTGCAGTTTTATTTTTATTCATATTTTTATTTTTATTTTTTTTAAAGATTTTATTGGGCAATTGGGGGAGGGGGACAACCAAGTTGTTGTCCTTCAATCTTAGTTGTGGAGGGTGCAGCTAGCTCAGCTCCAAGTCCATCCGGCCACCCGTCAGCAGCTTGCAGCAGCTCAGCTCAAGGTGCTGTGTTCAATCTTAGTTGGGGGGGGGTGGGGACATATTGCAGTCCCCCATCCTATGTGGGAGTCGAACTGGCAACCTTGTTGTTAGGAGCACATGCTCTCACTAGCTGAGCCATCCTTCCACTTGTTGGCTGCTCAGTTCGGACACAGTGTCACTGGCCCATGTGGGAATCGAACTGGCGACCCTGTTGCTCAGAGCTTGCGCTCTTAACCAACGGAGCCACACGGCCGGCCCCTATATTCATTTTTAAATGATTCAGTGTTTGTGTATGAGTCATAGGAAGACATTCTCTCCTATTTTCCCTATCATGCTATGGAGAGGGAAGCAGTGATCTCTTTCCTTTTAACAGAATAATTCTCATCACAATGAGTTAGACAAGGAGAAGGCATACTTTTTCTTTGTAAGGCTAGACAGTAGGTATTAGGTTTTGCAGATCATAGGGCCTGTCTCCTAAATACTCAGCTTTGACATTGGAGTGAAAAAATGGCCATATAATAATAAATGAATGACTATGGGCTCTGTTGCAATTAAACTTTATTTACCAAAACTGGGTGTAGGCTGGCCTTGGCCTGCAAGCAATACCCTATTTACCAAGCCCTGGATTAGATGATTTGCAAGGTAATTAATTTAACACTCAAAACAAAGTAGACAAGAATGTTCCCATTTTATCAATGACAAGTTAGATGATTTGACTAAAGTTACATGACTAGTAACTGAATATCAGGGACTTGAACTGGGTTTCTTTTTTTAATATTCGTTATGTGTGGAATTGAGTTATTTTGATGAGAGACTAATATTCCTAGATTTGTTTTTTGTTTTTGTTTTTGTTTTTGCTAAGGAGTGATTTGGCCTGAGGGCCAACCAGAAAAACCAGAGCTTTTAGTATCCAATTTAATTAGCGGAATGAATGTAGTTTGTTTTTAGGATTTTGCATTAAGAACTAGAAGTTAGGGTTTGAGAGTTTTATCTTAGTTTTGGTTAATTGAATATGGAAAGACCAGGGCTTAGAGTCACTTGAAAATGGAAACAATTTCACCATGAGTAACAATAAAGAGAAGCATATTTTTTAAACGAGGAATTTTTAAAAGACAAGAGAGCTGAAAGCACAAATACATGTAGAAATAGAGTCATACACACTGAAAGCGCATGTAGGAAAAAACTGAAGTTGAATCAGAGGAGAAATGCACTCTTTTTTTTTTTTTTTAAGATTTTATGGGGACTTGGGGGGAGGGGAACAGACAGGTAGACAAATTGCTGTTTTTGTTCTTCAGTCTAGTTGTGGAGGACGTCGCTTCACTGGCCCAGGTATGATCATTGTGCTCTTCCCAGGTGAGGCAATCGGTCGCTGGTCATTGGTTGGCTGCTCACGCTGGCTGCCAGCCACACATGTAGCTCACGGCAGCCCGCTGCAGCCTACGCCATCGCCGGCGACTCATGGCAGCCCAGCTCCAGGTCAAGCTGTTGTTCACCATCTTAGCTGTAGAGGGTGCAGTGTCACTGGCCCTCATGTGGGATTCGAACCAGTGGCCCTGCTGCTCAGAGCTGGCGTCCCAAGTGAGATCTTAACCAGCTGAGCCACTTGGCCGGCCTGAGAAATGCACTCTTAATCAGAACAGGAAAACAACCAGAAAGGGTAATCTGAGAGTATAAAAAGCACTTTTAAAGTTGGAACACAGCAAGTCAAAAATGAGAAAGATGGAAATGGTCATGTAGATTGGAGGAAGAAAGACGTGAGTGTTTCCCCATAGAGGTGGTACAGAGACATAAATACTACCCATGGGGAAGGTGAGACGTGTAAATGGAATCTGAATATGAAAATATTCAGAAGACAGAGGCATGCACGGATTGGCTCAGAGCTAAATTACAGGCATAAAAACAGTCACAAACAGAATGAGCAGTAAACAGTGGGACATTGATACGTAGAATTGTGAAAAGAAAACCACAAACCAGGGTACAAGCACAATGAGATCGGCAGCATGAGCAAAGCCAAGATACACGTCTTAGAGCTCTGTCCAAGTCTGAGGAGACTCAGAAAGAGTGAAAGATAAAACATATACCAAGATGAAGACATGAGAAGGTGAACCTGTGTGAAGTGGGATGAAAACAAATATGAACTCCCAAACAGCTATACAGAAACATTTTAAATAATTGTACATCTAAATTTGGTAGCAAAGTTTGTAGTGTGGATGGATCAAGTTATAAAACTATCAGGGTAAGGTAGAAGAGGATGTATCGGAATCCAATGAACAGCAGCATAGAGACCTACGTCAGGCATCAGCATTACTGATGTTAGGAAAGAAAGATAATGAGGCTGTAGAAGAATTTGAAAGTCTAGAAATGCACAGAAGTGGGAACATCTGGGCCCATCAAAAAAAGGAATAGAGGCTGATGCACACTGAAACAGTGTAATGAAAGGGAAGTGGGGCATGTCTTAGAAGAACTAACGTATAGCAAGGCCAGAATTTTAAAACGATCCATTCAGTGTTTGGAACTGGCTGATGGTTGTGTTCTTCATATGGCTAGTTTAAATTGCTGTTAGAGGAAGGTCACATTTATCATACCGTTCAAATGATAAATGAGGTTTTTATTGAGCAAGGAAAAAGGTAGAGCAGGACAGCCTGGGACAGTAAAGACAGGAATGAAAGTAGAAAACAGTCCCCCAAAAAGAGGCAGTAGGATGTCCCATGTGTGTAATTTATAATTCTACCGGAAAAGAGGCATAGTTTGTTCAACTTTTAACACTTTGCCCTGATTTTTTATCCCAGGGAAGAATGTATGTTTTCCCTCTCTATTTTGATTGATTTTATATTGCTTACTAACATTAACAGTAATAAAAAAGTAAATAAATGAAATTTGTTTCCTTAGATGATGATGTTTTGACTAATTCAAGAATCGCCAAGAAAACCTTTGGTGCAGATGGATGTGAGACACTACAAAACCCAGTAAAGGATTCAAAAGCAATGTTTCAAACCTATAAAAAGATGTACATGGAGAAGAAAAGCAGAAGCCTTGGTAGCAGTCCTTTGAAATAATTTTGAGACTCTAATTCTTCTCTTGGTTCTGTAATTGCTACAAGAAAATTTCTGTCATTTTGTGTTCAGGATATTTTGCTGAAAATACTCAGAACTGCTATGATAAAATAGAGAGTTTGGTTACCACTTAGATTATGAATGTCAGTGACATTAAATTACTTAAAATGGTCTGAGAACCTTATTTGTGGGTAGCAGATGTAAGAAGTAGATGGTATTTGTCAGAGAAACCATAAGGTATTGAATTTCAAAATGATTGAGCAAAGCTTACCATGTTTTAAGAAGAATTCTTAAATTTATTTTGAAATGCTAGCTATCCATTCTGAGGGAGAATAATTCCTCAGTTAAGGACTTGTTTATTTTAGCTTGGACTGCAAATGTATTTCTGTTTTTAAAACTTACTAGCAAAACCTAGTTTTCAAAAATACTTACTGTGAATGTCAAAGTATATTGCTAAGTATTTTATACCTAATTGTAAACATTTTGTCAAAAGTCTTGTTTTATACTTGTTAAACTGAAAAGAATTTTGGGCAATGTTGAAACATTACTTTTCATACTTGAAATAAACATTATTTTTTAAAAAAAAGATATTTGAAATCATAATGGATTGATTTGTGTTAGATTTCCTACCTTCACAACAGGACACATTTTAGAAAGGGTTTTTTTTTTTTTTTAATTTATCAAGGTAACATTAGTCAATAACATAAATTCCAGGTGTACAATATATTTTGACATTTGTGTTCTCTTACATACTCGCCTTCCAAAGTGTAGTTTCCGTTACCATATATTTGACCCCTTTACCTACTTTGCCTTTCCCTCTGGTGTCCACATTTGTTTGTATATATGAGTTTTTTTGTGTGTGTTTTGTTCATTTGTTACTTTTTGTTTTCTATTTCACCTGAATAAAGATATAAATAAATAAAAATATAAATAAAAAGGACGAACTTTTCCTTTTTGTCCTTTTCCATCTGACTTATTTCACTTAACAATACTCAACATCCAGTCATGTCACAAATGGCACTAATCTTTTTTTATGGCTGAGTAGTATTCTGTTGTGTATATGTAGTGTGTGTGTGTGTGTGTGTGTGTGTGTGTGTGTGTGTGTGTGTGTGTCTCTATGTATCTGGCTCACATCTTTATCCAGTCATCCGTCAGTGGACACTTAGGTTGTTTCCATGTCTTGGCTATTGTAAATAATGCTGCAGTGAAGATAGCGGTATGTATATCTTTACGAATTAGTGTTTTCATATTTTTTGGGTAAAAAATTCAGAAGAGAAATTGCTGAAACATGATAGTTCTATTTTTAGATTTTTGAGGAACCTCCATTCTCTTTTTCATATTTACAACCCCACCAACAATGTACAGGAGTTGCCTTTTCTCCTATTTACAACTCCACCAACAATGTACAGGAGTTGCCTTTTCTCCTATTTACAACCCCACCAACAATGTACAGGAGTTGCCTTTTCTCCGCATCCTCTAATACTTGTTATTTCTTGTCTTTTTGATAATTGTCATTCTAATGTGTGAGGTGGTAACTCATTGTGGTTTTTATTTGCGTTTCCCTGATTACTCGTGGGTGTTGAAGGTCTTTTCATGTTTGTTGGCCATCTATGTGTCTTCCTTGGAAAAATGCCTATTCAGGTACTCTGCCCATTTTTTAATTGGATTGTTTTGTTTTGTTTCGGTTGGTTTTGTATGAGTTCTTTATATGTTTTGGATATTAGCCCCTTATCGGAAGTATCCTTTGTGAATATCTTCCATTCAATAGGTTGCGTTTTTGTTTTCTTGATGGTTTCACTTGCTTTTATGTAACCCCATTCATTTACTTTTGTTTCTGTTCTTGCCTTAGGGGGTCACCAAAACACCTTCAAGACCAGTGTCCATACGCTTAGTGCCTGTTTTCTTGTACGCATTTTATTGTTTCAAGTCTTTGATCCACTTTGAGTTCATTTTTACTCGTATGTACAGTATAAGGTAGTCTAGTTTCATTGTTTTACATATGGCTGTTCAGATTCCCAACACCATTTATTGAAGAGACTTTCTCCATGCTATATTCTTGGCTCCTTTGTTGAAAATAGGTTGCCCATACATGTATGAGTTTATTGCTGGGTTCTTAATTCTGTTCCATTGGTCTGTGTCATGTTTTTCTGCCAACACTGTACTGTTTTGATTAGCTTTGTAGTATAGTATTAATTTGAAGTCAGAGTGTGATACTTCCAGATTTGTTCTCTTATTCTCATGATTGCAATGGCTATGCAGGGAATTTTGTGGTTCCATACAAACTCGGGAATTTTTTGTTCTATTTCTGTGAAGAATGCCATTGGGATGTTGACCGAGATTGCACTGAATCTGTAGATTGCTGTAGGTAATATATATGGACAATTTAACAACATTAATTCCTCCAATACGTGAACACAGAATATCTTTCCATTTCTCTGTTGTTTTCAAGTTTCAAGAATGTCTTGTAGTTTTTAGTGTACAGGTCCTTCACCTCCTTTGTTAAGTTTATTCCTAGGTATTTTATTCCTCTTGGTGTGTATAAATGGGATTATTTTCATTTATCATTCTAATATTTTGTTAGAATATAGAAATGGAAAAGATTTTTGTATATTGATTTTGTGTCTGTATTTGTTCATTTTTTTCTAATAGTTTTTTGGTGGAGTCTTTAGGGTTTTCTATATATAAATTCATGTCACCTGCAAATAGTGACAGGCGACGTTCCTTTCCAATTTTGATGCCTTTTATTTCTCTTTTTTGCCTAATTGTTCTTGTTAGGACTTTCAGTACTATGTTGAATAACAGTAGTAGATGGCGTCCTTTTCTTGTTCCTGATCTTGGAGGAAAAGCTTTCAGGTATTCACCGTCGAGTGTGATGTTAGCTAAGGGTTTTTTATATGTGTCCTTTATGTTGCAGTACTGTCCTTCTATACCCAGTTTATTCAGACTTTTTATCATACATAAATGGATGTTGTATCTTGTCAAATGCTTTTTCTGCATCTTTTGAGATGATCATACTTTTTTTATCTTTTGTTAATGAGGTGTATCACATCAATGATTGATTTTTGGGTGTTGACTGATTCTTGCATTCCTAGAAGGAATCCCTCTTGATTGTGGTGTAATCATTTAATGTATTATTATATTTAATGTGTTAGTGTTTTGTTGGAGGTTTTTTTTTTTTCAAGATTGTTGAGGATTTTTACAAATATGTTTATCAGATACTGACCTGTAGTTTTCTTTTTCTGTGATGTTCTTGCCTGGTGGGTATCAGGGTAATGTTGGCTTGTAAAACGAGTTAGGAAGCATTCTCTTCTCCAATTTTTTTGGAAGGATGTGAGAAGAAAAGTATTAAACCTTTGAATGTTTGGTAGAATTCACCAGTGAAGACATTTGGTCATGGACTTTTGTTTTTTTTGGGAGATTTTTGATTACTGTTTCAATTTCCTTACTAGTGATTGTATGACTTAAGTTTTCCAGTTCTTCATGATTCAAACTTAGGAAGGCTGTGCTTCTAAGAATTTGTCCGTGTCTTTTTAGTTGTTCCATTTGGTGGCATATAGCCTTTCACAGTATTCTTGTATGATCTGTTGTGTTTCTGTGATGTCTGTTGTAACTTCTCTTGCATTTCTTATTTTATTTGAGTCTTCTTTTTTCCTTAGTGAATCTAACTAGAGGTTTGTCAATTATGTTTTTCTTTTTAAAGAACCAGCTCTTTGTTTAATATTTTTCTATTGTGTTTTTGTTTAATTATTTCCATTCTAATTTTTTATTTCCTTTTCTTGATTTTTGGCTTTGTTCTTTTTCTGGTTCTTTAAAGTGTAGTATGATATTGCGTATTTGAGATTTTTCTTGCTACTTGAAGCAGGCCTGTATTGCAATAATCGAAATTTCCTCTTAGTACCACTTTTGCTGCATCTGAAAAATTTTGGAAGGACGTATTTTCATTTGTTACTATATATTTTTTTATCTCTTATTTCTTCTTCGACCCAGTAGTTGTTCAGTAACATGTTAATCTCTACATATTTGTGTTTTTTCCATCTTCTTGTAGTTGATTTCCACTTTTATACCACTGTGGTCAGAAAATATGCTTGGTATGATTTCAGTCTTTTTAAATTTATTGAGACTTGTTTTGTGTCACAACAAATGGTCTGTCCTTGAGAATGTTTCATGTGCACTTGAGAAGAATGGGCATTCTGTCGTTTTGGGATGGAACGTTCCCGAAATACCAATTAAATCCATCTGGTCTAATGTGTAATTTAAGGTTGGTTATTTCCTTGTTGACTTTCTGGATGATTAGTGTTCCCTACAATTATATAATTCTCAGTATCTCCCTTTAGGTCTGTTAATTGCTTTATATTTTTTGGTGCTTCCAGTTGGGTATGTATATAATAATAAGTATTGGGTTGTCAGAAAAGTCATGATGCATTTTTGCAATGAAAAACAGAAAAAAATACGTCATGACTTTTCGACAACCCAATATTTTTTTTAATTATGTTTTTTAATTTAATTTTTAAATTAGTTTCAGGTGTACAACACGGTATAATAGTTATACTTTTTACCCCTCAAAGTGACAACTCCCCCTAATCTGCCCCCCTCCCCCCTCCCTGATATCATACATATCTATTACAATTCCATTGACTCCATTCCCACACTATCCCGTGACTATATATATATATATATATATTCAATTATAGTTGACATACAATATTATATATACAACATCAGCTTCAGGTGTACAGTGCAGTGATCAAGCCTCTACCCCATCCATGAAGTCGTCTCTCTAACAAGATGTGTGACCATCTGACACCCTACAAAATATTTACAACATATTTTTTACCCCTCAAATTGACCACCCCCCTCCTCCCAATCTGCCGCCCCCCTTCCCCCCCCGCCCCCAATATCATGCATATCTATTACAATTCCATTGACCCAATATTGATGGGTTATCTCCTTTATCATTATAAAATGCCCATCTTTGTCTCGTTACCTTTTTGTCTTGAAATCTATTTTGTTTGATTATCTTAAGTCTGGCTACACCCACCCTTCCCTGGATGTCATTTGCTTGGAGTATCATTTTTCACCCCTTCACTTGAAGCCTAAGGTTGTCTTTGGAGCTAAGGTGGGTCTCCCCGGTCAGCATAGTTGAATCTTGGTTTTTAATCCATTCCATTACTTGGTACCTTTTGTTTGGTGAGTTCAGCCCATATACATTAGGGTGATTATTGATATATGACCTCCTTCAACCATTTTATCTTTTGTTTTCTGTTGTGTTTAACACCATAGTCTGAATTAGAGTGCAATTTCCTGCTTCTGTCCATCTGTCCTCTTACTCAAAGTTTTATATACTTTTGTCTTTTTGTTTCAGGTCGAAGAGCACCTTTAAACATTTCTTGTAAAGCAGGTCTTATGGAGGTAAGTTCTTTTAGCTTTTGTTTGTCTGGTAAAGGCTTTATTTTTCCTTCATATCTAAAGGACAACTTTGCTGGATATAATAGTCTTGGCTGGTGGTTTCCCTCTTTTTGATATTTTGAATATAAATAATTCTACTGGCTTGTAGGGTTTCTACTGAAAAATATGATGATAATCTGATGGGGTTTCCTTTGTAGGTTACTGTTACTGTTACTTTTCCCCTGGCTGCTTTGGGATTTCTATCTTTGTCATTAACTTTTGACAGTTTTAATATAATGTGTTTTAGAGAAAGTCTTGTAGCTGAATGTCCAGATAGGTTCTCTAGGGAAGTTCTGATCAGTTACTTGTTTGAATAGGTTTTCTGCTCCCTTCTCCCTCTGGTATACCCATTATCTTTATATTGCTCTTTCTAATGAGGTCAGATAGTTCTTGTAGAGTTCTTTCATTTTCTAAAAATTCTAAATTGTCTCTCCTTCCACCGGAAATATTTCT